ATACTGAGGAATCTGTTAAAATAAAAAAAACCCCACAAATGGGATTTACACATCACCAGTGTTTTTACATAGTCCAGGAAAAGCTTAATTAAAGGGGTGGGACGTGTCTCTGCTGAATAGCTGTTTTTCCTTCATACCTTCCCATGCATGACACGCATACAGCCAAGAAAAGAGTTTGGAGGGGGTGGCGGTGGAAGAAAACCACCCAAAACCAAAACCAAAATTACCAGCCCTAAACTACTCAGCACAACATTGTTGATTTGCTTGGCCATTTAATTAAATAAATATGTTCCTTGTAGAGAATCACAGCCCCACTGTGACAGCTAACAGAAGTAGAAGAAAAGTACAGAATATTATCTGCCTTTTTCCCTATAGGATACTCATATTGTTCAAACTATCATTACTGTGTCTAGTTTATCGTACAATTACGACTAATCCTTAACTCCTAAATAAGCAGGAACAGGAGTAAAGATTGCCATCCTGAAAGCCTATCAGATAAACTTTAGTCTATAATTGACTGGATGATTCTGTGATTAATTTTAAATCCTACTTAATAGGTTAAAGATGTTTATAAAGATGAAATAATTTTATCAGTGTTGATCTTAATAATCTTATGTTCACTTACTCTCTAAGGCTTCCATAGTCCATCCACTTGTTGCTACTCAGGCACTGCAAGTAAAACATAGCTTTGCACACAAATTAATATAGCTAGATTCTGGTCAGAATATAACTCACCAGGTAAGAATAACTCTAGTGTTGCCGAGGAATGGAACGACGCAGCATCCAACAAACTCTGAAGATGCCTATTGTAATCATCAAACAATGAGAAAATTTAACAAGGTGATGAATGTCTCAGACACATTGTTTGGACAAAAATACTTTAAATGAACATAAAAAAATAAATCTACTTTTAATTGAGTGATACAGTTTCAGCTGGCATTTTTATAAGATCACAGATTTTTTTTTCTGTTACATGTATCTATCTGACTACCTAGCTAGCTATAGACCTCAGGCAGCAGGCGGTCTTTCTGGTGGTTTGTTTTGGTTTTTTTTTGTAGGCTACAGCCAGTTCCTAAGAGGAGATGACTGCTTTTCAGTGTGAAATTAAGTACCCAGTCAGGAATTGAGCATAATCATCATATGGGCAAATCAAAATGATGGTTACATTTACTGCCTACAGAAATTTTTGCTGCACTGCATATTAACACACTGAAAATGTTGTGTTAGCTAATCGTGAATGTGCCGATTTTCATTACCCATGGAAATGCATAACATCTTCTGTTAAACTTCATTGACATTTTTCATCAAATGAATGGAGCAATGCCCTGAAATGTGATAATTGTAGATTCTTGTTATACAACTTCGAGTAAAATATTCTTTCCTCTAATTCCAACAGTAATTAACTTGGATTGGAATTCCCCTGACTCATGTAAAATTCTTCAGCACTGTATTAATGGATCCTAGTGTTTATATGGTTTGAAAAAAAATCCTGTCCCATATATGTAATATTATATTAAGGTGCTAAAGACTTTCAGGTTAATGAAAATAATTGATAAATCACCCCAGCTTGAGCTATAAGCATTTTTTTGGATTTAGGTTTAAAATGAAATGGTATCTTGCTGAAACTTAAAATGCTTCAAAAATGAAGCTCTGGAAAATTGTTGCATCTCCCATGAAGACTAAAAATTAAAGTAGACAATTATCATAATAATAACCCAATTGTACATGGCAGACAAAAGAGAAGCTAATACTTCCCTCTGCTTTTTGACTGATGTTTTGTTGGGCTGTAGCTAAACAGCACTTTAAGTTGACAATAAATTAGCAAACAATATGAGTGAGGAAAAAAGAAAGAAAATCATGCAGGGGTTAAGATGTTTGTGTAAAACAGTGATTTTCCTTTTTAAAATTAAAACGTACAAATAAGCTGGTGTCAGAGACTAGGTGATCCTTCATTTCCACCGCATTGAGCAGGCTCACATCAGCAGCAGACAGCCGTTAATATATGCGTCTGGCTCAGTCTGGTCTACCAACTAGGAATTCATCGAATTGTTAATATCATTCCTTTTTTGTATGCACCACACATCATTTTCATTCTCTCTCTCTCTTCCTCCCCCTTTGCAAGAGCTTGTGTTTTGGTTTTTTGTTTTTGTTGTAGCACAAGCTTATTACTCCGAAGTCACATATTAAATAGCGTTTAAAAACATTTTGGACTGAAACATCATAAAGTCATATAGAAATGAGAATATATTGAAATTCTGTACATATATCTAAGCATAGCATACCGAAGATGACGCTTTCTATTTATTTGTGCTAATAGAGACAGCTTTCATATACTGTCAATGTGTAAATAAGACTGCTTTCTGCATGGTGTCTGTAGGCATTGTCTTGTAGTCCCAGGACAGGGAAACATCTTGTTGATCTTGGTGGGAATTCTGCCCGAGTGAAGACCAGGATTCTCCCTCCCCTCCATCCGCCTCTGCCCTACCACAAGGAGTTCAATGTGTACCAGAGGTTGGTTGTTGCTGTGTTGAAACTGGGGAAGAAGAGGGAGGAGGGAAAAAGGAAGGCAGTGTATCAACTTTTTCATCTCTATGGCAAGGGGCAGCAGTGAGTACGATGGGCAAGAGAAGAGCCACTGGAGTTGTCCCAATTCAAGCAGTAGTGCAGAGGCAGTACTGCATATTTATGGCTTTTGCTGTAGCACCAAATAAGCCAGGTAGGGGTTTCTAATGATTCGTTTTCTTCCCACTCTCACTGCAGAGCAGAGCATACTTGAAATCTTCAGACTGACAGAGACAGATGTTTCACACGACAGTTTCACCTTCATTGTACGTACAGCATTAAATGCAAAATGAATTCAGAGTCCTGAATGTGAACCATCCACATTCAAGTAAATTTTGCTGATTCAGAAATAAATGCGATGAAAATCTTTAATATGTACAGACGTGTGCATCGTATATCTGACTAAATCTATAAGGATTTTTATTTTGATAAATACTATGCATAATTTAAATTGTATATTGACATGTATATACCGACACACAATATAGTTTTATCTCATTATATAGCTTGAATGAACAGAACACCTGTTCACCTGATCAGCATCTTAAATAGACTGTTTTCAGTACTGAAAACTATTGTCCATAACACATGTCAGTTGCTACCGAAGTGCTTCATGAGTGTAGCACCTAGCTGGGTACGTTCGTCTTTTCTATACAGACTCAGATTTACTTTTCTAATACTGCCTAAATAGAAGTCAATGTTGAATAACACATCTGTGTTAAAGAAATCACCTCTGTGTCTGAATGTTTGCAAGTAGCTCTTTTGAGTGTTCTTAGCATGTGGGATTGACAGTTTACGAAGAAAAGAATTGCATATTTACAGGAACTGTATCATCATTGTAATTACTAAGGCAATATTTTTATGACTATTTAAAGACTAATTATATCTTGAGCAACTTGAAAACTACATACAGTGCATAGTTTCTAACTTTTAAGAAAACAAGACAACAAGAAAAAGTATCATACTAACAGATAAGAACAATTTATTTTAACAATAGTGTTGTTTACAATAAAACACAATTCCTCCCACACAAGTAGAAAAAAATATACTGCAGCCAAAATACCACTTCTGAAATGAACAAATAGTTTAGATGCCTGATCTGTGTGAAGCCTTTGTCTCAGTGAAGCCTGATGTATCAACAAGGTCCTGCAGCATCTTGGGTTCGACACAGGAAACAGAGAAAAATGACTCAGAACTAACCTGCTTATAAAATATTAAGAAATACAAATCAAATTGCGTGTTGTAGATCAGACGTTCAAGACTAATGAACAGTGCAGAATAACTTGTGTGCTTGTGAATCTTCTTACGCAAAGTCAGTGAAGTACTTAACACATGAGGGACAACCTAAAGCTCACTGTTTTTTGTCAGAGGGGGGAAAAAAATGCAAAAAGTGATGGAGAGGCTAGAAGTTGAGTCCGGTGCTTAGAGTATTGCCGGCTCAGTTTAAATTGAACAGGTACAAGAAATGTGATTCTGTGTGCAAAGTGATTTTAATGCTGTAGTATGATTTTTACACCAATATTCTCTATCAGATTAAAATGTAAATTAAACGAGAGATTATTTTAAATGCCATATTGTGTTCTCACTTAGGCAAAGAAAAATGATGGCAACTAACTACAAAATAATCTTTGTCCTGTGTTACAGGAAAAGCTAAGCAACAGTTTTCCTGTAGTTTGAAATCATTATTCAAACAACAACAGAATGAATGTTTTCTAGGCCTCAAACATCAGTGTTTATGCTTTATGTTTTAAATGTTAATTAATGCTGTAACAATACAGCTGAAAATATCCTTGTGGTAATTAAATTAATAATAATAACATAATAATAATAATAATAATAATAATAATAATATTATGGTTGAAAGCCTTTTGTATATTTTAGTATCTGTTTTGATTTTTTTTTTTTTTTGAGGTGTAAACTGGCATTCAGTTCAAATTTTAATTCTAAATGTTACATGGCATCTAGTCCAATTTTCTAAACATACAAACATGTAACATCCTAATGTTGCACAATGGATGACAGCTTTTTTTCTTTTAGGAACAGTTCTGCTGCTTAACATTTGAAATAGGTATATTTTCCTTTTTCCCCTTCCAGACAAGGAAAGCTCCTTTGGTTCTCTAAATTCTGCGGAGAAACAATCACAGTCCAAAGCTGCTGGTTCCCCTCCGCCTAGGTCCCAAGAGCCTGACTTGTGATTGTTGCTAAAAAACCTCACAAGTTAGGGTCTCAGGGACTAGGAAAAGTCCGATATGATCCAGTAGAATTCGTCTTCCAATAAACTGAATTGCTTAGTAGTCATAATCGTTGTCAGTAAAACTTTCACTGCTATTGTTAAAAACAAAAACAAAACCAAAATAAACCCAAAAACCAATGTCACCCCCAAATCAGCAATCCCTCCTTCCCCCCAAATAAACAAACCACAGTTTCAAGTAGGGGGCAGAAAAGATCAAATAAGCAGGCAAGACACATACATACATTCAAACAATGTATCAGCTGACTGAACAGACTTTTCTTAGAGTATAGTCCTTAACTTTTGAAAAGAAAAAACAAAGAACACAGGAAAAAACCCCTCACTGCCTCGTCTCGCAAGTAGCCATATTATAATGCATCAGAGGGAAGCGTCTAAAAATGGGTTAAAATCTGCTTCCAGCAGATTTGTACAGTAACAATTTTATTCTATTTCCCTTAATGCCTGAAAGAAGGATTAAATGCTTGTTAAGGGGTTTCTAATTGAAATATTTCCCCATTATACTTTTAGTCCTACTGTTCAGGTGGGCCCTGGGTTACAGAGTACTTTAAACCCATTCACGATGCAAGGATAACCCTTTGGGCGTGTATTCACTTTTTGCCTCTTCCCCACGTTCAACATTTAATCCTTCTACAGACTGCTAGCAAAAGCTTCTTCCTTCCCAGTGGCAAAACTAGCTTTCGCTCCATAAGCTGTAGAAAACATTGACATGCAGAGATTGTTGTCACTTGAACCAGATTACTCAAAGCACACATAACTTTCAAATACTGTCGATACAGTAAGAAGAAATGCTCGGACTTCCCAAATAATTTCGTTCTGAAGCCGAACACTTTTAATGGCACGACCACAATCCTGAATTACTTTCGCATTCATTCTCCTCCGATCTTTAGCCTTGTTTGCAGAATGAAAAAGAAAATTTCTACTTTAGGGATGGGATCCACGGTGGCTTTTTTTTTTTTTTTCCCCCCCACTCACCCCAACGCACAAAAAAAAAAAAAAGAAACCGCAGCCATAAAGGTCCTAGCCACTGGAGCAGAATCTGGCATAGAAAACTCAGTGCTCTTCGGGAAGCCGTTCAGCTTTAAAAAGGAAAAAAAGAGAAGAGGGGGGGAAGAATTAGAATCTCTGCTGGTCGAACAGGTGAATCATCCATTTACAAGAAAGCTGTACAGAGCGCTCTGCTGAAGAAAAGATTTGCCAGTGCCCCCCACCCTCACCCTTCACCCTCCCCTCCAGATAGATACTTCAGATTTCAGAACATTTTGGATTATATTATTTCAGCTGATGATATAATGCAACATTATATAAGAGCCGTTTCTTTGTCACTGTGCTCAATCAGTTCAGTTATGCCTCAGACACAAAATAGTTAAACGAAACAAAATATATATATGAGAGAGATATATGCACAAAAATGTTAAACGAAACAAAATATATATATGAGAGAGATATATGTATAGCAGTCCCTAGATTTCATTCAATTTCTGTTTTTAAAGCTGATCATGATTTAACAAACAATTTTGACCACAGCTTTCAAATCAATAATTAGAATGAAATATCTCTCCCCTCTATAAATATGACATTAACATAATTATACCACCCCCATCGCATAGACCCATCCTCTTTAGGGAATACATCTGATGCTCTGAAGATGGAAATCAGTCAGATTTTAGTTGCTCTCAAACGTACCTTTGCTTCTCACTGACTGACTGGCTTTACCTTCCATGCACACACACAGTCACGAGCACACACACGCACACACACACACACATACACATGCGCGCGCATACACACACACACACACACGCACAAAAAGGCAAGGCAAAGCAGCGGATGCTGACTCAGAGCAGTTGTGTGTGGAGGGGGTGGTATCGGCTGGTATTTTCACTGCACTCATCATTAACATTAACTCACTCTCTAGCATCCACCCTCTCTCAGACCTGCTGGACTGCAGCATTTGCATGACGCTGTCACTCTAGCCCTTGTGGGTCAGATGTTAGAAGAAAAAAAAGCCTCAAGGCTCTCATAAGGAATGCCTTCATTTCTTCCAAAGGGTCCCTCTTCTTATTTTTCCACCTTTCTACTTCCTCTGTTGCTGTGTCTCAGTTGTTTGACATCTTTCCGGAAGAAAATGTCTTGAGCTGCAATAAGCCAGTAGTCAGTTGGTCCTCCCCTCACCTCACACTCCTATTCCCACCCCCTTTTTTTCCTAATCAATAAGACAGATCTCCAAATGCAGTTGTGAAAACAGGCTCTGACACACAGACTTTCATCCTCGATCCTCTGTCTCAGGAATAGCAGGCAACCCAGGCTCACACGTGATGTAGAGAGAAATAATGCCAGTAATTCTTGAACAGTCTTAGGAGTTTATTCTACGCCTTCTTCATTTTTTCCTTTGCTCAAATAAATACCGGTGGGAAGGACACACTAGCTCTCAAAAGCTACAAAGATTCATTTCTTCAGAAAATAATGCAAATTAAAAAGACTAATATTAATCTTCCTCAAAATTAATGCTATCTTCCTCCCCCCCTACTCATTGTGCTCTTTATGAGTAGGAATTGTCTCATAGCCAAAACACTGCCAGGGTCTGAATAACCATTCACTGTGCTGAAATCGTGAGTTTCTGGACTTCAATCGGTATTTAACTGGGCTAAGTAATTTTTTTCTTTTTTTTTGTTAAATTTTAGACTTCTTAATTAAAAATAAAATAAAAAATAGAAGCTGCTTGCGTCAGAGGGAGCACTGTGAGAGAACAATGGCAATACACCCGCACCACCACACCGAGTATTGAAAATGCATGTTTGAGCTACGCTTGTGTATTTATCTGCGTGGTATTTGCTCCGTGTTGGTAGAGCAGTCTGCGCACATACACGTACATCGAATACACACATACACACACAGAGAAACTCAAGACGCGTATATAAAATACACAACACAAAACAAAGCACAAAGGCTGTTAACTGAAACACAGGCACAAGTTGTCTGACAGGCTATGAAAATCCACACAGCATAATTATTGTGTGCATTTTTACCTTGTTCCTTTGTTCTTAAGTCAAGGGACTTTAATGACTTACGGTGTTGACAATCTTTCGGCTTTTCCCTTTTTACGCCAACAGTATTTGGGAATTATTTTTCCAGACAATACCACACCACTGTGAATCGCGGTATAAAAATTATTTACCAGAGGGGGGGACAGGTGTAACGCAACTCGCCAGCCAATTCTCAAAGCTGCCTGGTGCCGTAGAAACTCTCGGCGTAGCTGGGCAGGCAGGTCCCAGGATGCAGTGCTACACCGCAGTACCGGCTCAGGTAGCCATTTGGCAACCTGACGGCGGCAGCAAACGTGAAGGGCATCCGCTCGCAGGAAAGGTCCAAAAGAAAACACCGCGCAGCCCCGAAGTAAAGAAACGAAGCCAAAACACCAGGGTACACGCCCTAAGCCCAGTTCGTACGTGCTTATGATCGGTCGCCGTGATGGTAATTAATTTCTTAGGTGAAGGACGGAGGAAAGTAGACAATTAGGAAACAGTTAAGTTTGTAATCTCGGAGAAAGGGAGAGACGGAGACAGACACACACCCACAGACAGAGACAGAGAGCGAGCGGAGAACGCCAAGCACGAGACAACAAAAACAAGACCGAAATCAGATTTGGGAAACTGAAAAAATACAGGATTACAGCATTCAGCTTAGCATTTACTGAGGTATAAAAAAAAATTAACACATGCACAGCATGGCTTAAAATACTTATTGCCATCAATAGTCTGTGACGGATGCCGGCTTCTTACTGCTATACGTACATTAGATTGGTCACCACCTCTTAATCTCCTTTTGCTCAGACCCATCCATTTTTTGCTGCTCCAGCATCTGTGCCCTTTATGCTTTTTTTCTGTATAGTTACCCACAATACGCTGGATAAATTAATGTCATGACCTCGCTATGGCTATCAGACAGAAAAAAAGTCTAGTATTTTAATAATTGAACGTGCGCGTACAGCAAACTGCCTACTGATAGCCCAGCTTTGTGGACTGCCTCCAAAAGCAGCCTTTGCTAGCTCTGCGAATCAGAAACAACAGATGCAAATACTAGCCACATAGCCCCAGCTCTCTGTCTTGCATTTTTTTTTTCCTAAAAAACCCACCCTTTTCAATCTGTGCCATCTCATTTTCCCTGCGTCTGCCCCCCTCAACGGTTAAAAACATTAGCCTGCTGAAATTAGAAGCTTTTGAATAAAAGCATAACAATGAGTGAAAATTATAAATGGCTGCAGATTCTGGAAATTTATATCCAGACGGCGAGTAGGAAAGAGTACCCAGGTTCAAGTGCTGAGCCTCACTCAGGAGCACCTCTGGGGCCAATGGGACTGCAGACTAGATTAAATCAATAGTCGTCTGAAACGAGATGTCGTAATCAATCAGCTCAATTACCAGTGTCATAGATCTGGGCTTAAGGTCTTTCCTGATTCCACTCTTCTAATCATTAACCCTTATACATCCTCAAAATAGGAACTCACGCTTGCTCTGCTGCCCTACCTTTCAGATCATCAAAGTTTAACTTAGCATTTTCCCCTCTTTTTCCCTTTCCCTATTTAAATAATATGAGAATGGGTCAGCAAGAAACATTTTAAATGTGAATATGGCAAGGTTAGATGCACTCCTTTAAATGTACCTATTATATATTTGCTGTGTGTGCGCTTATATATTATTATTATGCCTCCGGGAGTGGCTGGGTGGATCAAAGACTGCTGTTTAATTAACATTCAACTCAGCTGTTTCCTTGGAGATTAAAAATAGAAGACTAGTTGAATTAAACTGAAGCCGTTCATTCCTTTCACTAATCCAATATTATAGAACTCCTCTCCCCTCAACCTAGTTAGGAACAACTCATTTCTGGTTAATCAACCACTAGGAAAATCCATTTTCAGTTTGAGGGTAAGTGTGAAAAAGTTGGAAAGACATTTTCGTAGGCATGTCTGAATTTCACAGAATTGCCCAATCATTTACATTTTGCATCCACAGTACAGTAAATCCCCATGTGATGCAAGGAGAAAAGGACCATCCAGTTTGAATACGAGCAGAGCCACTTTAAAATCTTGCCTGTAATTACTACGCGCTGTATGAAGACTAAATGTCATCCATTTAACTTGTTTTTACTCCTGTGCAGGTCCTGAAAAGATCAAAAAGGTTTTCACAAAAATGCTCAAGCAATCGTCACATATCCTTCTCTCAGTTTCTCAGAAGGAAAGAAAGTATCCAGGCAGCAAGTATCCAGAATTTTGGATTTAAATTTGATTTATTCTGCTGATAGACTCAAATAATAATAGTGAAAGAAAACCCCATTACATTTACAGTTACATCACTGTCTGTACACACTGCCTCTGTTTCCAGGCAGAACCACACCTTTTGTAACCATAGATCTGCTTTTCAGCTGGAGAGACTGAACGCACAGCTTTAGTCCCCGCAGCCCTGTGAATGTCGAATAGCAGAATTAGCCCCCGTGCCACGACAATGATATTCTGGGGAGGAATTTGTGCTCCTAGAGGTGCTAGGAGTGGATATGGGACAGGGGCAGCAAATAGGTGTTTCAAAGCAGAGGCTGAGGCCAGGGGTCTGGCTGCAGGGAGGGCACCTGCCAGGGCAGGGTGCCGTGCTATCCAAGACAGGTTATAATTGGAGATCGATTGCTGGATTTAATGACCCAGCTGTTTTCATTAGTAGAAATGTAAAAAATTGGTCTAGAAAATTATTCAGCTGCTAGCATAGGCGCTTTTTAACAGGCTTATACCTCAGCCAGGAGCGACTTTGTTGCAGTAACTGACCTCTCACAGATGGAAAAAAATGACCTCAGCTTTGCTTCTTTTCTGGGAAAGATTTAGCTGACAGTGGGATGAGATACAAAAAGAACCTTAATTCTGTCCTTTAGTAATGCTAAATGAATGCAATGCACCAGACACCACCTTAAACTGGATGAAGGGTACTGCTCAGTTTTGCAGGCAGCGGTTAAGACTGTAAGCATCATCCACAAGGGGACAGCATTCACATCCACACTAGAAAGATGCAGTTTGTGTACATGAAGAACAGAATGA